CAGGGAGTTGCCCAGACTGCCGGCGGGCCCGCCGGCCGCGCCCTGCCCCCGGGCGATTTGCGGGGCCCACGCCATGCTCGGGACAGGTGCTGGGCTTTATTTTGTCTTTCACGTTTCACTGAATCCGCCGCGACACCGAATCATCGCCCGAGATAAATATACCTGTCTTTCAGTTAGTGCCAAAGAGAAGCGTCTTTTTCGAAATGGGTAGAGTTTAGGGGCTGATTGGTTCGCCGCTGAAAGCTCAGCGGTGGAGTTTTCCTTTGGGGAGCAGGTAGGGGACACTAGAGGAAAAGAGGGTACATTTTAGGCCAACATCGAGTTAGATATCTCACATATTCCGTTGTCTTAAATGTGAACGAGGACTTTTTGTTGGGTTTTGTTTCAGAAAACAAAAGCCCGACATGAGTGTTCCTTGCAGAAAGGATACAGTCTCCGTGAATAATTTAAAGCATTCACAGTTCCCCAACGGGGGCCTTTTAAACAAACTCTTTTAAGTACTATTGCTGGCAAATTTTATCTTAGAGACCGTCTGATCCGAATCGCCTTCTCGCCTCATCCGAGGAAAGCGGCAGGGGAAACAGCAGGCGTGTCCCCCAAGACCATTTTTGCTGCTTGGAATCACTCCCCGCAGACGCGCTTCTCCGCGGGGTTCTGGGGCCGCTGGGGCCGGTGACTGGGCCCCGGGGCGCCGGCGCGCCCCACGCAGCCCCCCTTCGCGGCGCTAATTGCTGCCGAGAAAACACACATCCGAAGAGGGCTGGGCGCCGTCCTGCTGAGGTTGGGAACAACTTTAAGTGTGTTTGTTCAAAAATACAGACATCTGCTGCATCCTTGCCACCCGATGGCAGTAAGCTCTCAGAACCACAACCGGGGCTTTCTGGGGGTATTTACACATCTGGGAAACACCTGGCAAGAGGAGGTGAACTTTCAGGATAGAAAGAAAGAATATGAAGAAAGAAAAAAAAACTAAACATGGGTGTTTTGTAGGTGTTTTCAAAACTGGAACCCAGCTAATGGGCTATAACCTAAGAGCAGAAGCTGTAGCCACTCGGAGACCTGGTTCTGGACGGTTCCGACCACCAGGCAGGTATTTTTAACAGGAGATGGGTAGGATTACAGAGAAGTTCTGTGGCTCCCTTACAGGCAAGGCTCCAGAAAGACCAGATAAGGTCAAGTAACTACTGCATGGAAAGGGGG